CAACCCGGAGAGCAGAGCGCAGCGCCGCCGCGTCCTTCTTCCGCGACATGACAGGTGCGCTGCGCCGGGCTGCGCCACGATATTGAGGAACTGTCATGGCGCGTGGCGCATAGCGCGCGCCAGCCCGTCACGCGTCCCGGCAGGGGCTCGGCCAATCATTAGATCCAACGAAAAGCTGCGACCCAACGACATGAGGCGCGGCACTACACTACTGGTGAAACAACTAGTGTGCATGATTTGCACACCAAAGTATGTGCAAGTTGTGATTTTGCACATTGCATAGTGCTTAACTCAATAAGTTGCACACACTTGCGTGGTGTGCGAATTCTAAACGTTTCGTAAACGTTCAAATTCTGCATACTTGGACACGCACCGTTCTGTCAGTAGGAACCATGCGGTGTGCAGCCTCTATACTTTTCGGAAGTGTCGAAAATTGAAACATCGATTGACGCATAACATAGTTAGACACCACAATGTGTCTAGAAAATGCTCACTTGAACTTTAACATCAATTGAAGTGCAAAATTAAACACTTGTTTTACCAGTGTAAAGTCACCTTGTGAGTCGACGAGTCAACTAACTGAACGACTCGCCTCGCGGATACGCCCCTGTACACAGGGTTCTTGGCGAACTTGGTCGTTTGGTGGTCATTTGTTTCCTTTTCGACCGACTGGTCTACAGGGTTCTTTACAAGGTGGTCCTTTAGGACTCTAGGGGTTGGGAAGCCAGCAGACCTAGGTAGGGGCAGATCCGGACCGGTCTGCGTGACCTTTTAATCTGTTGTTTTCCCGAATGTGGCGTAAGGCAGATTTCGCTCTCGCTTTTCTCGTTTTTCGGAAGCTCTCGTCCCAGACCGACGCGTCAGTCTCATCACGTCAGTCAGTCTCCTCGGTGCAGGTGCACGCACGGCCGGGCGCTAGGAGCTGTGCGGCCGTGCGGGGGGCGGGCCGGGCCGAGGGCAGCGGGACCAGTGCGTCACCGTCAGTGCGCCAGCCCACGTCAGCTCGTCTCTGCAGAGCAACCCGGCCTTTCCACGCTGCACACAGACGCACTCGCATGGGATGGGACGTCCCTGTACTTTATTGTGCCGAGGTGTGGCATCTAGGAGCACCACCAGAAATGCAATACCGCAATACAAACGGGAAAGCGCAGGAAAGGGGCAGTCCGCGCTCTCCCGGAGGTCCCCACAAAGGCAAAGGGGCTTCGACTCCTCGGCTCGGGTGTAAACAACGACAACAGCAATGGTGGAAAAGCGTCACGATCACGATCTACTGGACCATCTTTTAAGTCGGTACCTGTCCATGACTCGTCCTCGTTTCATATTTAAGCCTCTATTGAAGCGCCTGTCGCCGTTCTGACAGCCGCTTGAGAGCGACTTAAACCGACCGTTCCGACCGGATTTGACGCGTCAGTAAGCGACATGGAGGCTCACCAGTTTTCTCCTACCTGGTCCGCAAGGTCTATTAAAAATGTACTTGAGTTGGTTTTTTTGTTTTTTTTTTGTTTTGTTTTTCTTTAAAGAGAAAATTTCTTTCATATTGCTCTCAGTGTTACAATATTCTGTCAGGACAGCACGGCGCTCTTCTCCGCTCCCCTAGCGCGGGCAGAAGCATAGCCTCCAAGGTCCCTCTCGCTTTCAGGCGTGGCTGCAGTGCGCTGCGGCAGGTGGCAGGGCGTCAGGTGGAGGCGTCGCCTCCACGCCCGCCTGCAGGGTAGGCAGCCCGGTCGCACCGATGCGCTGCGGCCCGCAGGCTGCATACCTGCTCGGCGCCCGCCAGACCCCGCTGTCTGAGCGGGCACATGCGGGATGCGGGTCTCTTGCATCGCTTGCACCCCCGTCCTTTCCGTCCTGCTTATGGCCTCTTCGATTGTTGTGCCGACTACTGTTGCGTCGAGGGGTGCACTTGATCGCAAAGCAGCACGTTCGGGATCATCCGCACTACGAAAATTCGAGAAAGAATCCGCGGTCTGCAGCCGATTTGTTTTGCGTGTAGGACTATTGTCTCTCTGTGAAAATTAATTGGTCTGTCGCAAATTTACTGCACCGATAATCGCAAAATAACAACGTTGTTTGCAAACCGTGCACACTACCAAAAATGTTGTGAATTAACAAAGAAAAATTTCCCAGTGTATTCAATTACTACATGTCTGAAAATGAATCATGAGACAGAATGACAGCTCAGAAAAATATTTACTTTGCGAAATGATGTGCGAAAAGCGAAACTTATTAGCCCAGCCAGACTAAAAGTTCGGGTTGTGGAACTTTTTAAAAAATGTAACCGACAACAATTAAATTGACGAGTACCCGCATTCACTTCCCTCTGAGAGCGGCCCGCTCCATATCGGCCGAAAACGCTCGGTCATTGGGAGCTCTCCTCTCTGTCCCGGCCGGGGCGGCACTCTATGCGGCGGCGAGTCGTATCTCGAAGCAAAGCCGACCAACACTCCAAGTGCTCAATTATGTTATGGCAGGGAATCTTGAAGAAAGTGGCGGACACACCACGTCCGAACACTTTCAATTATTGTGCCGCCACAGTAAAACCCTAATTCGACAGTACACATCCCTATAGCCAGGTCTGAGGTGTTCTCTATACGAAACCACGATTAGAATGCCATTTCCAGGACGAAAAGAAAAACAAAGGGTTGGCTGAACAGTTTTTAAATATTCGAAGTACGATACATGGGCGATCAGTCGGAGCGCCTGGTGGGTAGGCAAGAATCCGCCACGCGGTTGGGTTGGTGGCCTACCCTGCGCTCATCAGGCGCTGAATGCCGCGGGTTGTGGTCGAGAGGGGGAGAGAGGCGGGAGACATTTAGTGCAACCATTTCAATTTGTAAAATGTTTAGAACCATTCACGCCACGATCCATCTTCTTCATATAAGCAGGCGCTTGGGCGCCACTTGTCCTCGCTAATAACTCCTTCCGCTCACTGCATTAATAAATGACTCTATTAAATCACCGCCTCCGCCGGGTATCGGCGCGGCGTGGCGCGGCTTCGCCTGGGCGGGGCGAGCCGGCTTATCTCATTGTATCGGGGCTCGCGGCCCGCTCGCGGCGCTGGCGGCAAGGTCCCGCGGGCGCGGGTAGGAAGGCGGCAGGAACTTCCCTCCCCGCCCTTCCCTGCCCTCCAGTCGAGACTTATTGAACGGAGGCAAACGTCCATAACACGTCCAGGATGTGTGGAACGCGCAGCCTCGATAGCCGGTAAGCGCCTCGGTGGTGGTGGTAAGCGTGCTCGGAACACAATCCAGGACACGACCGTCTGCAGGCCAAAGGGGGGGAGGAGGGAGGCGCAGCGAGAGTGAGAGCCTTAAGTACACGGCAGTGTGTGCCCCGAAAGAACCAAAACGAACCCCTCAAGGGTGCCACGCCACGTGCGCGCCACGTGCGGAATGTGGGATTGTGCGAGCCTGTCACGGGTGTGCGTGGGTGTGACAGAAGACGTACGACGGTACACATCACAATGAGGTATTTTCCGAATTAGAAGAACAAGAGGAATATCGTCTGCTCCCGGACCATTACGAAGCCTCGACCAATCAGGCAGCAGGCACGGCCTTTCTGGAGCCGGCCACGAGAGAGGCCGAGAGAGGCTCTCTCTGATTGGTCAAGACTTTGCGATGGTCCGGCAGCAGACGATATTCCTCTTGTTCTAATTCGGAAAATACCACATTCATTTTCTGAATTTTCGCATCTCTCTCTTTTAATTTTTCTGTGTTTGTCTGCCGGCGGTTGAAGAGCCTCTGTTGGCTTCAAGCTTCAAGCGTGAATGCTGGACGCCCTGAGCTTGTCCCTCTCGGCTGGCACCCGCTGGCGCCCGCTGGCACCCGGGGCGCCGCGCTGCGTACTACCGCCTTGCCGCGTGCAGCGGTAGGACGCCGATGGGCGCCGCAGGCGGCATTGGCCACCCGGGAGCCAAAATAGTGACTTGCTTCTAGTATTGCCGTGTCGTAGCGCGCCACACACAAAACCTCAGGGACTGGCACCACGATGTATGTTTCGGAAAACGTGCCGACTGCAAGCAAAGGGGTTGATTGTGTTGACATGTTAAGAAACAAAACAATCGAGGACGCGTTCTTGACCAATTTTGTATTCTCCTTGAGCCACTACAAGGGCGCAGTGGGGGAGCACGTTGGGAATACATTGGTAGATTGCCAAAAACACTCGCGCAGCGGAACGTGTTGTTTACATCCGCGGGTGTGCCGGCGCCGGTGGCGTATGAAGATCCGGACTCAAAGTCTGTCGACGATCTCCAGCCGAGAGTCCAGGTGGAGGGGAGGGGCCAGATAGCGACTGTGCGACCGAAGAGGCTCGCTCCCAGCCCCCTCCCCAGCAGTGGGGACTGGATGCGGAGCAACTTTAGCCTGCTGTTTGTGCTGGAGGGAGTTCACGGGTGGTCGTGCGTGCAACACCCCCCCCCCCTCCCCTCTTCCCTAAACGCCCCCAACGCCCCGGGAGTCGCCCGCTGGACTTCCCCGCGCGGTGACAGTCAACAGTCAACGTTAACGCAATCGGGAACATTTCTCATCTCCCAACCTTCCAAACCCTCTCTGGCCGAGACCCGCGGAAAAGCCTTGGATACCAGAGTGAACCACGGCCGAAGCCGTGGTCCGGCCGCCCGGGCCGTGCGAGGGTGTACCACGGCCTGCTAGACGCGGGCGCCAGGAGCCACCTCGGGCGACACCTCGGGCGCCACCGCGCTCGCCGGCTCGCGATTGGCCGGAGCCTGGAGTGGCCTGGCGCCTCCGACTCTGACTGGATGGAGCGGCCGGAGAGGCGGACCAACCGCGATAGCGGCAGCCGCCACTCTCGAGGCTTCCATCTCGAGCCCAGCGGCGCCCAGAGGTCACGTCAAGGCTGTCCTATGCTGCCTATGGTGCGGGCGGCGGGTGGCGCGGCGGCCTCCACCCCGCGGGGGGCGGGGGCAGGGGCGGGGGGCGCGGAGGGGTTTGCGGCTGGTCAGTGAGGGCCGAGCCGAGCCGGACTGCCGGGGTGGGCGCCGGGCCGGGCCGGAGCGGCCGGACAAGTCTGAGCGGGACCTCAAAACAGACGGCGCACTCTCTCCCCGTCGCAGTCAGTCTCTCCCCGCCCAGGGCACACGCTCGCTCGCCAGAGCCGCCACGCCGGAGCTCGCTCTTGGATCAGGACACGCGAGCGCGCGCCGCTTGAACCTCCCCGCCCGAGACCAGTAGAGAAGTGCAGCAAGGATGGCAGTGCAGCTTCAGCAGCAGGCCGCGACTTCGCCGTACACCTTCCCGGACATCCGCAGCAGCCTCCCCGACATCCCCGTAGTGAGTAGAGTAGAGGGTTGTGCCCGGGCCAGAGATGGTGCCAGAGGGGGGAACGAGGATCGGATTGTCACCCGTCTCGTATTTGGGAGGTGACTCGCCGTGCTTATTTTGACTCCTTTAGGCTGCACTCTCCGGCCTGTCTTTGGATAGCTTTCTTTTGTGAGTTGGTTCACCGAAATGAAAAGGGCCAAAAACCAACTCGCTTTAATTGTATCCCCAGCGACGAGTCATTTGAAATATTTAAGACAGCAAAATGGAAGACCTTTCGTTATAAAATACAGCATTAAGGATGTACACACTGATAAATAAAATGTGCAACTGACGTGCACATGCAAGTACCCAACACTACGTTGCACACTCATAAGTGTTCATAAGTGGCTAGATGTTTTAATACTAAAAAGTGTTTAACAGTAGCTAGTTGAGAGCGTTGAACTTCAGGGTTGGCCCTGGTTAGCTTTGGACCCTGTAAAGTGTTCAAATTTACTGTTGAGCCCTTTTAGGAATTCAAATTTTCAGTCCAACACCTAAGAGTGTGCACCACAGAGTTGAACACTACCACGTGCATTGCATGCCAGTCGCACACTTTCGTTTTCAGTGCGTTTGCCGTGGCGTGGCGCCAGGGGGAGAGTAGGCAAACCCGCGACAGGGGGGCGTCGGCGTTGACACACCCAGTATAGGCATTTGTGCCGCCGTACTTACTGTCGCCGATAAAAACGATACATGATTTCTGATTTTGAGCACACCACATTAACATACTTGTTTTCGGAAAACATTTTTGTCGGCGTGCATCATATGAGTTCATTGCCCTTCGCGATATTCCAAGAATTCGCCATCGCCGGGGCCCCGGCGCGTACATGTGTGCGTGTCGCTGGCGGGGCTCGATGTCCTCGCGCGCATTAAGCCCTGTAATGGGGGATTCATGTTGTGTGTGCTCGGTGCGCCGGCCACGCCGCTGACGCAAGTGTGTGGACGCAGGCCGCCCTTCTCCCCGCCCTCCCTCCCGCCGCTCCCGCCCCGAGAAAGGCCGAGGGGGCCCGTTGGGCCACTCTGGCAGCGGCCGAGCTGCTGGCTGGTCGCTGGCCGCTCTGCGTCACCTTGTTTTGCAACTCCTGGAGAGTCCCGCTGCTGCCGAGTCGCGCGAAGGCGTGGTGTGGCGTGGCGTAGCGTGGCGGGCACTTCAGCCCAAAACATCCCTCCGGTGGGAATCCCTCGCCGGATTGGTCACCCATGGCGCGTGCCTGTTTACATTCGCGTCTATGATGATCGGGTGAGTTGGCGAGGGGCGAGGCCCATTCCTTGCGACCCATTCCTTGAACCGGCACCAGCCAAACTATAATCTCCATCCGCAAAAAAACAAGCAGCAATCCGCCAGACGCCCGCCCCGGGTGTCAGGGACCGTAAGCGATTCGCGTGCTGTCTGGCGTCGGCGTCGCGGCCGGCAGACCGTGCTCCTCGGGCACTGTACTCGAGGGGTACACCTCACCCACACACACTCGTTGGACGTAATGAACGTGCACGATATGGGCAAATCACCCTGAAAATAGGCGTCATTTGAAAATTAATTGGAGCAGCAGATAATAATTATTGGAGGAAGCGATAATGTACCCTCAACTCCACGGCAATCGGGGTGTCCTGCCGATGTCACGCGGATGTCCTCCTGGTGCCCTGCGGGTTCTGTGCTGCGGGTGTCCCGCGGGTGTCCTGCTTGTCCGGCCGGGCAGGAGCACCACGACGCATGCGCTGCATGTTCGATTGCTGCGCGTCCTCCGGTTCGATCGCTCGCCCCCGCGGTGCCCTGCGGTGCCCTGCGGCCGGTGGCGGCCGGTGGCTAATGCTAATGGGAGGCCGCGGGGCCCGAGGCCGGGCCGGACAGCGCGCGGCCCCAGTGACCCCCGGGGGCAGGGAGGGCACCAGTAGTGCCGCGACGTGCTGCACCGTGCAGGCGAGGATGAGCTGGCCCAGCGGCCAACACCGCCAGGTACTTACGGGGTGGGGCCGCGCGTCTTGGGCGCACCCAAAGTGTGTGGATATCACGTGTGAAAACAAGTCAGCATAGCCCCCCTCCTCCCCCCACCACCAAAATGGTGGTTTTCTTCACTTTATTGAGTGCATTGATGGCGCTGTGTAAATAGCATATTCCACACAAAAAACAAGCTGAATGCCCCGAAGAAAATGAAATACACTCAAAGAAATGTAGTAGTAGTATCTAGGAACACGCCTTTTTTGGGGTGCATGTTAAACGCCGTTGCACTTGTTTGGGTGCGCGGGCGGTTGGCGGCGGGGTACGCAGACGCGTGCCGCACAGTTTAGCCACAAGAACAACGCGCGCCGTGTGAAACTCCCACCAGGCGTCCGGCGCTCGGCGTGACAAAACAATCGCACTCGTCTGGACGTGTGTAATGTATGAGAAGCGCGGCACCCAAAACAAACCGTATCACGCGAGTTTGACCGTCTTTCAACGAGCAAAGCGGCTTAAAGGTGTCAAACGGCCCCTGACCTCGGCGATCCGCGAGCGTCTCCAAGAGGGCCACTTATCCAGTGGGCTGGGCTCCTCCAAGGTGCCCCCGACCCCCGGCGCGGTGTCACGATTTAGGTCAGGCGAAAATTCCTGCGTCCAGAAAAACGATGAGCTACAGCGACCATGGTTAATTCAGGGAGCACCAGAAAATATGGTTGATGCAACATTATCGTGGTTGTGAGAGCCAAAAATATGGTTTCCATCACGTTGTCATTGTTGTCTGAACTGAACCATATTATTTTATGGTGCCCCCTAAGCCAACCGTACGATGGTTTGCCTACCTACACACGTCAGCAGGAGCTCCTGCCCGACTCGCATGCTGGCATCGCGCTGGCTCCGCCGACGATGGCGCCTGCAGCGCGTTGGGTAGGCCAGCCCGCCGGGCAGCCGCGTGGAGCCGGCGGCCCATCCTGAGCGCCCGAGTGCAGGCAGGCAGGAGCGGAGCGGGGCAGGGGCGAGGGGCGAATCACTTCAAAAATATGGCCGGAAATGGCTGCACTCAAAATCTGACCAGGTGACTGGAAAATGATTGGAAAATGACTGATCGTGACCAGAGAAGTGACTGGACTTTACTCTGATAATGACTATGGAGCCAATTGAATTTGAATTAGCTTGAATTAGGTTGAATTGAATTTGAATTGGACTGAATTGGTTTGAATTATTGCGATTTTATGTTACTGAATTAGCGTGAATTGTCTTGAATTGGCTTGAATTGACTTGAATTAAATATAAATTGTCTTGAATTGGACTGAATTAGTAGAATTAGTTTTGAATTCGTTTGAAATAGATTGAATTGGTCCGAATTAGTTTGAATTGGTTAGAATTAGGGGTGTACACTTGGCAGCGGAGTTATCCACCCCTTATGGAGCCTCTGGATGTGCTTTTCTTACGAATTTTTCGACTGACTGGTGACTGGAAAACGAAACTGAAAAAGTGATTAGTCTGGGCCCCGCTGGTCGAAGTGACGTTCCCTCCGGGCAGTGGCCGCGCGTGCGTGTGACGTGCCGCGGCGGGTCGGGCCGACCTGATACAAGATCATTCGTCACTCTCTCGATCGGCTGGGATCGGCTGCAGACGACAAGCGCGGCGAAACTGAGGCGCGCGCTTGAGGGGAAGGGGGGGGGGGGCGACCCCACTGCGAGGTGTGGCGGGCGGGCTGGAGCGCAGCTTCTCAAGTGACCCTGTTAGTGCTGTTAGTCCCCCGTTGGCTTCTTTCACCTGGAACCTTCCACGCGTGAAATAGGATAGGTCGCCCTCGTACAGAGACAGAGCCACGGCGTGAAGTTCTGACCGCCCGATTGAGACGAAATAAAGGGGGAAATTAAACGTTCGGTAATTTGTTCACGCTTTGTTCTTTATTGTTCAGTAATAATTTTCGCTTGTCCTAATAAAGGAACATTCTGGTTCAAAATACGACCGAGAAGGGCTAGTTATAGTTATTAGCCCAATCGCACATCGGATGCGCCTGTGTTTGAGCCACGGGGCTCAACCCAGGCAACAGGCTTGTGGAGTTTATGTATATGAATCGAATCGTGGCAAAAACGAAGCAACTAACCATCCTTTAATAAAACGACAGAAAAGTATTTGGTGCACTTAAATTATCTTCTTTATCTGCTTCCATCCGATACGTTTACGACTTTGGGGTTCCATTACGAGTCACCGCGGAGCCGGGGAGGTAATTAATTACGCACGCGAGCTCCTCGCCTCGCCGCGCCGCGCCTCGCGAGCGGAACGAGCGCTGGCCATAGTGCACCTATTTAAGTTGGTTTTGTCGCCCCGACCGACCTTGTGCCTACTGGAAATAGAATATATGTCTTCGGCAGTTTTCTCGGCGCACACCGACCGCGAGTCGCTTTGTGTTCGGCGTTCGCGTCGTCGGCACGTGGTCGATAATGACGCCATTCGCCATTCATCACCTCATTACCTGATGTAATCCGGCCTCACGCTCGGGACGGATACT